GATTTTCCTAATTTTTCCAAACATTTTTCGAAACATTTTTATTTCTCAGTTTATTGATTTTTTAATGTTTCGATTCTACGATTTTTCAATTTCCCGATTAATCATTTTTTTTGTATTCCGACTTTTCGATTTCTCGGCGTCTCGATTTCTCGATTTTTCGGTTCTTCAATTCTTCAGTTTTTCGATATCCCAGATTCTTAAATTGTTCTTCGATTTTTGAATTTTTCGATGTTTCTATTTTGACATTTTTCGATACATATTTCGATTCAATTTTTGGATTTTTCGACTTTTTGATTTTTCGATATCTCGTTTTTTTAATTTTTAAATTTTAGGTTTTCAATTTTTCGGTTTTTCGTTCGATTTCACGATTTTTCAATTTTTTGAATCTTCACTTTTTCTTACATTTTTCAATTTTTTGATTTTTAAAATTTTTCAATTTCGTGCTTCCTCAATCTTTCGATTTTTCGACTTCTCGGTTTTTCAATTTTTCGATTTTTAAAATTTTTGATTTTTAAATTTTTCAGTTTTTCGATTTATCTCTCCTTCAATTTTTTGATGTATCGAGATTCCGATTTTTCAATTTTTCGAAATTTCGACTTCTGGATTTTTGATTTTTTTTGAAATTGAAATTTTTCGCTTCTTCAATTTTTAACTTCTCAGTTTTTCGATTTTGGGCTATTTTGATTACATAATTTTTCGGTTTTTGGAGTTCTGGACTTTAGTTTCTCGATTTTTCGATCTTTTAATGATTCTTTTCGACTTTCCAATTTTTCGATGTTCCGATTTTTAAATTTTTCGTTTTTTTGATATTTCAAATTTTGAATTTTTCAATTTTTGGCTTTTTCGGCATTTCGATTTTTTTTTAATTTCAGATTTTTTGATTGCTCGATTTTTCGGTACTTCCATATTTTTAGTTTTCAATTTTTCGAACTTCTGAGTTTTACGTTTTTCGGTTTTGCGATTTCTTGATCTTTAGATTTTACTCCTTGGTCTTTCAATTTAATTTTAAAGTTTTTGATTTTTCGATTTTTCAAATTTTTGATTTTTAAATTTTTCAGTTTTTTGATTGTTCAAACTTTCTATTTTTCACTTTTTCGGCATTTCGATTTTTCAATTTTTTAAATTTCAGATTTTTGGAATTCTCGATTTTACAGTTCTCCGATATTTTTAGTTTTCAAGTTTTCGAATTTTTGAATTTCACATTTCTAGGTTTTGTGATTTCTTGAACTTTCGATTTTTCGACTTGTTGGTCTTTCAATTTGACTTTTAAAATTTTTCAGTTTTTCGATTTTTCAATCTTTCTATTCTTGATTTATCGAGATTTCGATCTTTCGATTTTTTTATTGTTGAATTTTTCAATTTTTCAGTTGTTCAAAATTTCAGTTTATGGATTTTTGATTTTTAATTTAAAATTTAAATTTTTCAATTTTTAACTTCTCCATTTTTCGAGTTTGGATCATTTCGATTATTTAGTTTTCCGATTTTTGGTCTTCTGGACTTAATTTCTCGACTTCTCGATCTTTTAATGTGTCGTTTCTTGATGTTCCAGTTTTTTAATTTTTCAATTCTCGGTTTTTCGATTTTTTACTTTTCGTTTTTTCGACTTTTTAAATTTTGGATTTTTCGCATTTCGATTTTTCAGTTTTTAAATTTTAGATTTTTGAATGTTTCAATTTTTACATATTTTAGTTTTTCGATTTCTCGATTTTTCGATGTTTCATTTCTCGATGATTCAGTTTTTCAATTTTTCAATGTTTCGATTTTTCAGTTAAATGATTTCACAATTTTTTTATATGTCAGTGTTTTTTGTTTTTTTTTCGATTTTTTAAGTTTTGGATATAAATTTTTTTACATTTCAGTGTTTTTTTATATTTTTTTCGTTTTTTTTTTAAGTTTTGGACTTTTCGGTTTTTCTACTTTTGGTTTTTTCAATTTTCCGATTTTTAAATTTTAGATTTTTCAGTTTTTCGATTTTTGATGTTTTGATTTATCGATTATTCGATTTTCAGTTCTCTGATATTTCTATTTTTCAGTTTTTCGAATTTTTAAATTTTTGATGTTTCACTTGATTGATTTTTTAATTTACATTTTTCGATTTTTGAATTTTTCGAGTTTTGGTATCGATTTCTCGACACTTCGGTATTTCGATTTTTAAAATGTTTCGGCTCTTCAGGAGTTTTCAATTTTTCGATACTTGGTTTGCTCGATTTTCCAATTTTTCGAATTTTTGATTTGTAACTTCTCGATTTTTCAATTTTGGACTATTTCGATTACTCAGTTTTTCGATTTTTGGACTTCTCCACTTTTATTTCTCGATTTCTTCATCTTTCAATGTTTGGTTTCTTCATGTTTGATTTTTTAAATTTTCGATTGTTCAATTTTTCCATTTTTCGATTTTTTAATTGTAACTTTTTCAATTTTTCAGGTTTTAATTTTTTGATGTTTCAGTTTTTCAATTCTTCAATGTTTCGATTTCTCGGTTTTTCGAATTTTCGGCTTCATTTTTGGATTTTCCAATTTTTCGATGTTTTGATTTTTCAATTCATCGGGTTCCCAATTTTTTTACATTTCAGTGTTTTTTCAGTTTCTTAGATTTTCAAGTTTTGGATTTTTCGGTTTTTCGCCTTTTCGACTTTTGATTTTTTCAATTTTCAGAGTTTAAAATTTTAGATTTTTCAATTTTTCCATTTTTGATGTTTTGATTTATTGATTTTTCGATTTTTTAGTTATTTGATATTACTATTTTGCAGATTTTTGAATTTTTAAAGTCTTTTTGTATTTTTTATGTTAAATTGCTCAATTTTTCATTTTTTAATTTGTCGATTTTCAATTTTGGGCCAATTCAATTTGCCCAATTTTCGACTTTTGATTTTTTAAATTTTTCGATTTTTAAAAATTTTGATTTTAAAATTTTTCAGTTTTTCGATTTATCAATCTTTCATTTTTCAGTTTTTCGATTTATCAATCTTTTTTTGATGTATCGAGATTTCGATCTTTTGATTTTTTGATTGTTGAAATTTTCGATTTATGGATTTTTGATTTTTTTTTTAAATGAAATCTTTCGATTTTTCAATTTTTAACTTCTCGGTTTTTCTGTTTTGGGCTATTTCGATTACTCAATTTTTCGGTTTTTGGACTTCTGGACTTTAGTTTCTCGATTTCTCGATCTTTTAATGTTTCTTTTCGATTTTCCAATTTTTCAATGTTCCGATTCTTCAATTTTTCGTTTTTTTGATTTTTCAATTTCTCGCTTTTTCGGCATTTCGTTTTTTTTTTATATTTTAGATTTTTTGATTTCTCGATTTTACAGTTCTTTCATATTTATAGTTTTCAAAAATTTCGAATTTTTGAATTTTACATTTTTCGGTTTTGTGGTTTCTTGATCTTTCGATTTTTCGACTTCTTGGTCTTTTAATTTGATTTTAAAAATTCTTGATTTTTCGATTTTTCAAATTTTTGATTTTTAAATTGTTCAGTTTTTCTATTTTTCAATCTCTCTATTCTTGATTTATCGAGATTTTACAGTTTATCGATTTCAATATATCAATTTCTCGAGTTCTTAGTTTTTCCAATTTTTAAATATTTTCGAATTTTTAAGTTTTGGATTTTCGGTTTTTTCGATCTTTCGCTTTTCGTTTTTCCGATTTGTGAGTTTTAGATTTTTCAATTTTTCGATTTTTTGCTGTTTTGATTTATCGATTTTTCAATGTTTCAGTTCTTCGATATTTTAATTTTCCAGTGTTTCGAATTTTAAAATTTTTAAAACTGAAATTTTTCGATTTTTTGACCTCGATTTTTCGATTTTAAAATTTTTTGACTTTTCTGGATTTTTCAGTCTTTCGATATTTTGATGTTTGATTTTAAAAATTTTTGATTTTCACTTTATTGATCAATGTTTCTTTTTTTAAATTTACATTTCCGATTTTTCACTTCTTTTTTTTTAATCGATTCTCGGTTTTCCGAGTTTTAAAATTTTTAAATTTTTCTGGAATTTTGAACTATTCGATATTTGATTTGCTCGGTATTTCAATTTTTCGAATTTTTGATTTTTGTTTTTTTTTGTTTTTTTTTTAATTATAAATTTCTCAATTTTTCAAATTTTAATTTCTCGATTTTCAATTTTGGGCTATTCCGATTTGCGCGATTTTTCGATTTGTGGACTTCTTTTAGTTTTTCGATTTTTCGAATTTCGGTTTTTCGATTTTTCGATTTTACAATTTTTCGAATTTCCGTTGTTTCAATTTTGCGTTTTTTTTTATTCTTTAAATTTTGGAATTTTCAATTTCTCGCTTTTTCTGCATTTCGATTTTTCAATTTTTAAATTTTAGATTTTCCAATTTTTCAATTTTTAATTTTTCGATGTTTGGATTTTGGGCTATTTAAATTACTCAATTATTCATTTTTCGACTTTTCAAAATTTCGATTTCTCAATTTTTGATGTTTCTTCCTCGATGTTTTAGTTTTTCATTTTTCAATGTTTCGATTTCTCCGTTTTTGGACTTTTCGGTTTTACAAAAATTTTCCAATTTTTCCATGTTTTAATTTTTCAGGATATCGATTTCCCAATTTTTTTACATTTTAATTTCGGCATTTTTCAATTTCTCGACTCCTAGTTTTTTGATTAATCAATTTTCCAATTTTAAAATTTTTTCGATTTTGGATTTTCGGTTTTTCGACTTTTCGCTTTTCGTTTTTTCGATTTGTAAATTTTTCGACTTTTCTGGATTTTTCAATTTTCCGATATTTTGACTTTTGAATTGCTCGATCTTTTGATTTTTCTGATTCCGATTTTTCAATTTATCGATTTTAAAAATTTTTGACTTTTCGATTGTTCAAATTTTCGATTTGACATTTGACGTTTGACATAAGCGATTTTGAAAAAATCATTTCTATAGATCGAAAGTTCCATACTTTCTCTTGGAAGATTAAACAGAGCAAGCTAGAATTACATGTGTTAGATGGTTGGAATACGAGGGGTAGTTAATAAATAAAACACCAGATTCATGTTTTTAAATATTTATTGCTCCAACATTAGAATACAAATTTGTTATAGTAATGTTCTTGTTGAAATACGCTCGAAAGCAACTCAACAACTTAAAATGAGAGCATAGAATGAGCAAAATCAGTGCTTTGTATCTCAACTGAATCTGTTACTTTGAAAGTCACAGGTCATTATGATCTAGAGATATATTTAGCTGTTGAGGGCGTGACTTTAAAGTAACCGACCCACAATGTCTTGGTATATAGGTATATATCTTTTATATACACATATACACTTTATTTGAATGAGGTGATCAACCTTGAAGGGACAGGACAATTTTATATATCTCGTTATATATATAAAATAAGACTAATGTTCCTTACAGATTTAGTAGATTTATACAATTTTTTGAGGTGGATATTTTTAACATAATATAACTCTGAGTATTCAACGTAGTGTCATATATATAAATCTGTGATGTAGAATCTTTCATTTGACTAAACTTAAATATAATTTGTATCGTCGAGGAGAAAACGGTATTGCTAAATGAGTAAAGTGAAAATAGACTTCGTTGTAAAGACAGGGAGATGCGGTCTCGGTCTCGGCGTCCGCCTCGACTTCGCCTCGCACCGAAAAACTGTACAATTCCGTCGCTTTAAACCCAAGTGAAAATATTCCACAGTTAGTTTTTGCAATATTTTGGTGTTTATAGATAGAGCGCTGCTATAGCGTGAACTTTACAAACTACTGTAAAAGCTCTTACTTGTAGAGCACAAGGCATGTGTGGCCAAAATTTGTAATTCTATAGATAGATGCAAAAGTAATGGCCGTTATAGTCTAAAGCTATTTTATTGTTAGGTACTATATGTACACGATGGTGATGCAGAATATGATCGAATGGAAACTTTTCGAAAATCAGAGAAACTGAGTGAACGAAACGAAACAATCTATCCTTAGTGGCAGGCGTCTATGACTTTCTAAGAAAATCTAAAAATTCTCTAGAGAAAGTCCTTAGGTTTTCGAGAGGACGGCGTGAGCACTGGCTCATCCAGCATTTTGCTAGTTTCTGTAGGGCTAGTAGCTGAACTTTCCGGTGAGGTGATTTTCCCACTGCTCGGTGTAGGTATCTGCGGCGCTGTCCCTTTCATCCGAGTTTTCGACCGTCTTTTCCTTAAAATTATAGGCCCTAAACCCGTACCTTCCGACGTACTGGGCTTCGTCAGCAATTCCGTTGGTCTCTCCATACTTGAGCCCGTGTTGGAAGACTTTTGTTTGGGTTCGGAGTCGCCCTGGGGCGAGCTGGAACCGCTCTCCGGACTTATGCGTTTCACCAGCTCGGAGAGCAACTCCTCCATGCGGTTCATCTTTTGATTGAGCCTCTGGATCTCCAGCTTCACATCCACCTAAAGAAAATATACCTTAGTACTGAACTGTGAATCGGTCCAGTCAATCCGGAGCTAAAAAACTGGTCAGACTATTGCGACAGAACTTTCCTTGCCCCTGAAGTGCACCCCAACAAAGTCCGCTTTTTGAAATATCATAAAAAAAATCAGATTTTTTTTTTAGTTTTAATTTTTTTTGTTTCTTCAATTTTTTGATTTTCAATTTTTCGAGTTTTTAAGTTAAAATTTTTCAGTTTTTCCATTTTCCAATTATTAATTTTTCTTTTTTTTTTATTTACTTTAATTTTGATTTGTTCAGTTATTCATTTTTCGAATTTTTAATTTTTAATTTTTTCAAATTTTCCATTTGCAATTTTTCATTTCGGTTTATTTTTTTTAGTTTTTCAATTTTTCGGTTTTTTAATGTAATGATTTTATAATTTTTCTTTTTTTTATTTTTGGGTTTTGCAATTTTCAGTTTTCAATTTTTCTATTTTTCGACCTTTAATTTTTTTAATTTTTCGTTTATTTAATTTTAGATGTTTGAGTTTCAAATTTTTCAATTTTTATATCTCCAATTTTCCCACTAAATATTTAATATATAATTTTTAAAAATTTTTAGTTTTACAATTTTTCGATTCTTTAATTTTTCATTTTTTTCAAATTTTCGATTTGCAATTTTTCGTTTTGGTTTTTTATTTTCATTATTTTTACAATTTTTTGATTTTTCAGTAAGTACCCGGTTTTATTATTTTTTTGTTCTTCGATTTTAATTTTTTTAATTTTTTTGTTTCGTCAATTTTATCGCTTTTGGATGTATCAATTTTTAGAATTTCAATTTTTTTTTCGGTTTTTTACTTTCTTTTTTTTTTTTTTCATTTTTTAATGTACTTAATGAGTTTATAATATTTCTTTTTTTAATCTAATTTTTTTAATTTTTGGATTTTGCAATTTTCAGTTTTCAATTTTATATTTTTGAGTTACATGGTTTTTCAATTTTTCATATCCTCAATTTTCCTTTTAAATATTCAATATTATTATAATTTTTAAAATATGTATATCACTTTTTCGTTTTTACGATTTTAGAATTTTTTAATTTTTTCAAATTTTCCATTTGCAATTTTTCGCTTCGTTTTTTTTCTTTATTTTTACAATTTTTCGATTTTTCAGTACCCGATTTTATAATTTTTGTCTTTCTTCAATTTAATTTTTTTTTATCTTCTCAATTTCACGAATTTTCAATTTTTAATTTTTCAACTTTTCAATTTTCAATTTTTCTTGTCTTTAATTTTTCGATTTTCAATTTTTTGTTTTTGTTTTATATTTTCTTTATTTTTTTAATTTTTCGGTTTTTATGTTTCATTTTTTAATGTGATTTTTTGTAATTTTTGGATTTTGCAATTTTCAGTTTTCAATTTTTCGATTTTTCAACCTTTATTTAGATTTTTTAATTTTTGTTTATTTAACTTTAGATTTTTGAGTTTCGTGATTTTTCAGTTTTTCATATCCTTAATTCCTTTGAAATATTCAATATATAATTTTTAAAATATCTAACTTTTTCAATTTTTCGATTCTTTAATTTTTCATTTCTTCAATTTTTCGATTTGGAATTTATTTCGGTGTTTTATTTTCTTCATTTTTACAATTTTTCGATTTTTCAGTACCCGATTTTATTATTTTTTGGTCTTCAATTTTAATTTTTTCAATCCATTTTGTTTCTTCAATTTTACAACTTTTGGATATATGTATCAATTTTTCGATTTTGCAATTTTTCAAATCTTCAATTTTTTGTTTCGTTATTTTTTAAACTTTTAGATTTTTTAATGTAATGATTTTTTAACATATTTTTTTTGTAATTTTTTTGGATTTTATAATTTTAAATTTTCAATTTTTTGACTTTTCGACCTTTAATTTTGTTAATTTTTTTCGATTTTTCAGTACCCGATTTTATTTTTGTTCTTCAATTTTCATTTCTTCAATTTCTTTTTCTTCAACTTTGCAGCTTTAATTTTTGGATTGTGCAATTTTTTGTTTCGGTTTTTTAATTTCTTTATTTTTTCAAAATTTCATTTTTTTAATGTAATAATTATAATATTTCTTTTTTTAATACAAAAATTTTTTGAATTTTTGAATTTTGCAGTTTTCAATTTTCAAATTTTCGACAATTTTTTAAATATTTCACTTTTTGGATTTTACGATTTTCGAATTTTTTTCATTTCTTCAAATTTTTGATTGGCAATTATTTGTTTCGGTGTTTTATTTTCACCATTTTCACAGTTTTTGTTTTTTCAATTTCAATTAAAGTTTTTCGATTTTTTTCTTCAATTTTTCGGGTTTTCATTTAAAATTTTTTAATTTTTCAATTTTCCAAATTTTGGATCTTTCAATTTTTAGATTTTGCAATTTTTCGAATTGTAATTTCACGGGTTTTCAGTTCTGAATTTTTTAATTTTCACTTCTTTAATTTTTTGATTTACAGTTTCGGTTTTTTTTTCGGTTTTTCAATGCTCTCTTTTTATAATTTTTCTTTTTTTCAATGGGAAACTTTTCAAGTTGTGGAGTTTTAAATTTTTTGATTTGTAATTTTTCGGTTTTCAGTTATTCGATTTTTCAATTTATAGATTTTTCAATTTTTAGATTTTTTATTTTCGCGATTTTTGAATTTTTCGTTTCCTCAATTTATGATTTGCAATTTTTCTAGGTTTCATTTTAAATATGTAATAATAATTATAATTTTTAAAGTATTTCATTTTTTCGACTTTTCAATTATTAGATTTTAGGTTTTCATTTATTCGACTTTTCAATTTTTAGATTTTAATTTTTCAATTTTTTGATTTTTCAATACTCGATTTCTTCAAATTTTAGGTTTGTAATTTTTTTTCATTTTCTTTTTTTTTTCTAAAATTTTTGAATTTTTCAATGTTACGATTGTCTAGTTTTTTGTTTTTTCAATTTCAATTATTACAATTTTTGGTTTCTTTAATTTTTCCATTTGTAATTTTAAAAGTTTTACTGTTTTTCGGTTTTCCGATTTTTCAGTTATTCATTTTTTTCAGTTTTTTACTGTTCTGATTTTTTCTTTTTTCTTTTCAATTTTTAGATTTTTCTTTTTTTCGATTTTAGAATTTTTCGGTATTTAAGTTTAGAATTTTTCGGTATTTAAGTTTAGAAATTTTTCAAGATTTCGATTCTTCAGTGTTAGGATTTTTCGACAATTTACTTTTTCGATTTTTCAACCTTTTGATTTTTAAAATTTAAATTTTTGAATTTTTCGATTGCTTTTTTATTTTAAATTTATCATTCTTCCATTTTTAACTTTCGATTTTTCGATTGTGCGCTATTTCGACTACTCAATTTTCCGATTTTTTGACTTTTAGATTAATCAAGTTCTGATTTTTCAATTTTTCAATTTCTCGATTTTTCAGTTTTTTTGGTTCTTGAATTTCCTGATTTTTCAATTTTTCGATTTTTCAACTTTTAGATTTTTTAATGTTTTGTTTATTCAATTTTATATTTTTGAGTTACATGGTTTTTCATTTTTTTATATCCTCAATTTTCCTTTCAAATATTTAATATTATAATTCTTAAAATATTTCACTTTTTCGTTTTTCTGAATTTTGATTTTTGAATTTTTCAATTTTTCACTCTTTAATTTTTTAATTTTTCAATTCTCCAAATTGATTTCCTCGATTTTTCAATTCGATATTTTATTTATTAAATTTTTGTAAATTTTTGGTATTTCGATTTTCAGATTTTTGTTTTAATTTCAAATTTATCATTTTTTCCATGTTCAACTTTATTCTGCGCTATTTCGATTACTCAATTTTTCGATTTTTCGACTTTTATTTTCTCGATTTTTCGATCTTTTGATGTTTCAGTTTTCAATTTTTCGATTTTCCGCTTTTAAATTATTCAAGTTCCGATGTTTCATTTTTCAAGTTCTTGATTCTTCAATTTTCTGATTTTTAAATTTTTCGAATTTTAATTTTAAATTTTCCAATTTCTCGAATTTTCTATTTTTCGATCTTTTGATATTACTTACGTTCTTGGATTTTAGTTTTCAATTTTTCAATGTTCCGATTTTTAGGTTTTTCCGTTTTCCGACGTTTCCAATTTTTCGTCATTTTTGTTTTTCGATTTTCAATTTCCCGATTTTCAATTTGTTAAATTTTGGATTTTTAGATTTCTCGATTTTTCGATTTTTAGTATTTTTGTCTTTTCGATTATTCGTCCATTTTTTTAAATCCTTAAATTTACCGTATTTTATATTCAATTTTCCGATTTTTCTATTTTTCAATTTTTCGGTTTTTCATTGTTCTAATTTTATAATCTTTCTTTATTTCAGTGTGAAAAATTTCGGTTTTTGGATTTTTCATTTTTTCAATTTCAGGTTTGAAACTTTTTCATTTATTCGATTTTGCAATTTTCGTTTCGATTTTTTATTTTCCTAATTTTTACAATTTCTTGAATTTTCATTTTTTCGATTTTGGAATCCTTCGATTTTTCAATTTTTTGATTTTTCATTTTCCAGTTTTGTAATTTTACAATTTTTTTTTCATTTTTAATAGTTCAAAATTGCAGAATTTTACAATTTTTCTGACTTTTAGATTTTACATTTGTACGATTTTTGGATGTCTCCATTATTTCAATTATAGTTAATCAATTTTTAATCTCGTAATTCTGAGATTTTTGAGATCATTTGATTTTTGATTTTTCAAAAGTTCCCTTTTCAATTTTTCGAGTTTTCGATTTTTCAATTTTCTATTTCGTAATTTTTATTTTTTTTTAATTGTTCAAAATTCCAATTTTTATTTTTCAAGTTTTTGATTTTTCAATTTAATTATTATCCTACAATTTCTGGTTCTAATTTTACATTTTCACAATTTTTGGATGTCAATTAGTTGGGTTTTAATGAATCAATTTTCAATTCTATAATTCTCTCTTTTTAAAATTTTTTCATTCTTGTAATTATTCAATTTTTATTTTGCAAATTTCTGATTTTCAATTTTTCAAGCTCTTGCATAATTTTGCAGTTTTTCGCTTTTTAAATTTTGTAATTTTTCAGTTTTACAGTTTTTTTCGATTTCACAATTATCCAATTTTTCAATTTTGTAATTTGTACATTTTTTACTTCTTAGTTGTCCGGTTTTTTTTATATTTCTTCATTTTTTAAATTTCTCGTTTTTAAATTATTCCATTTTTGATTTTTCAATTATCCCGATTTCATTGTTTATATTTTCCAATTTCCTGATTTTTAATTTTTTTAAAATTCCGATTTTCAACTTTTCAAGGCTTTGATTTTTTAGTTTCATATTTTTACCCTTTGTCGACTTCTTTTGGTTTTTAAATAATCAGTTTTTCAATTTTATAATTTTACAATTTTTCAACTTTTTTATTTTTAATTCTTCAAAATTTCAGTTTTAATTTTTCAAGTTTTTGATTTTTCAATTTAATTATTTTAGAATTTTAGAATTTTTCTGACTTTTGATTTCACATTTCTACAATTTTTGGATGTTTCCATTATTTTGGTTATTATTATTTTTAATCTCGTAGTTCTGCGATTTTTTAGATCATTTAATTTTTGATTTTTTAATTATCCGAATTTCATTGTTTCGATTTTCCAATATTTTGATTTTTGATTTTTCAAAAGTTCTGTTTTCAATTTTTCGAGTTTTTGATTTTTCAGTTTTCTATTTTGTAATTTTTATTTTTTTTAATTTTTCAAAATTTCATTTTTAATTTTTCAAGTTTTTGACTTTTCCGTTTAATTATTTTTGAATTTTTCGTTTTAAAGTTAACCGATTTTTATCACTTAATCATTTAGATTTTTTAATGTTCCTATTTTGTAATTTTTTTTTAATTTGAATTTTTTCAATTTTTCGATTTTTCACTTTTCCATCTCTTCAATTTCTGGATTTTCAATTTTTCGTTTTGACTTTTTATTATTTTTAATCTTTATTTTTTCAATTTTTCGGTTTTTCAATTTTTCGTTTCATAAACTTTCATTTGCAATTTTTCTAGATTTCATTTCAAATGTTAACTCTTTTTCATTAATTCGATTTTTCAATTTTTCGATTTTAAATTTTGACGGTTCTATAATTTTTCCATTTTACAAATTTTGGGTAGGTAAGTATTCCAATTTTTCGATTCCGATCGTTTTTTCTTCTTTGAAGTTTTTCGATTCATTAATTTTTTTTTTATTTTTAAGGTTCTCGATTTTCGGTTTTTCAATGTTCCAATTTTTCGATTTTGCAACTTTTCGTTTTCAGTTTTTCTATTTTTCAACTTTTCGAATAAAAAAATGGAAAAGCTGCAAAATTGTAAAATTGAAAATTCAGAATTGAAAAACGAAAAAATATAAAATGAAAACTTCGAAAAACTCAAAAATGATGAAACCGAAACATTGTAAAATGGAAAAATAGAAAAATGAAAAAAATAAAGAGCGAAACATTGTGATTTTTTCGAAAAATTTGAGAAAAGTTTTTCCACTAAAAAATTTTGTGATGACGTCATCACATCAAAAATTGGCTTATTTATTAATTTTTTTGAGTCACTTTGTATAATTAATTGAGTGCGTTGAGTGCATTGATCACACAATAATTTATTATAATCACAATATTTTGCATATTTCAAAGAAGATTTATTTAGCAAAATTTTAATATGACGTCATCAACTTTTTGGAAGGGGATAAGCGATTTACCATTCGGTTTTTCAATTTCGAAGTAAAATTACAAAATGTTATACAATTTTGATTTTTGCTTCAAAAATCTTAATGTCTAGAATAAAAACTGTACACGGATTCATAAACCACATGTAGAGGAGTATCTTATTTTATAAAATTGAAATGATATTTTCTGATGTAATTTTTGAGATGACGTCATCTTATCGGTGGTGGGGATGCTTAGTCAAATTTGGTTAGCGTTTTACCATCTAGACAGACAGTCAGACAGACAGACGGAAACGGGAGACCACTTTTACGAGGATAACTTGAAAAAATTGTGCCGGATTGACTGCACTATATATCAAAAATTGAACATTAATAAAATTTTTTCAAACGTTACAGAATTTGGAAAAACTATCTTCGTTGCCATTACTTTAAAATCCATAAGATTAGTCATAAGCTCCTTGTACTCCGGCGGCGCGATCGGGTCCGGGATGGGCGTCTGGTACATCGACGCCGTCGACGGGTCCCTCAACCCGCAATCATAACTCTGCATCTTCCTCAGACTCAGATTCCTCGAGTGCGGCGGCTCCACCTCCACCATCTCCTCGATCGTGTCCTGCCTCGTGATCCCCGGCGCCGCGTTCGTCGACACCTTCTGCAGCTTCGGGAACACCTTGTTCCCCGATCCCGGCGTCGGCTGGCTCCCCGAACTCCCCGACGACGACGAGCTCGGCCGCTCCTTCGCCGAGTCCTTGGCGCTCAGACTCCTCGTGAAGCTCTGCTGCGCCTGCGTGGAGCTCTCCGAGCCCGAGTCCAGGCTCGCCGAGCCCAGCAGCCGCCCCCACTTGCTGGCCCGGCCCGCGCTCGGCCGCGCCACCGTCGTCTTGACGCCGCCCCCGCCGCTGTCGTCCTTCTCCGCCACCGACGACAGCTTGGTGGTGGACAGCACCCGCGCCATGGGCTTGTCGCCGTTCTCCTCGCCCTTCTCCACGTCGGAGGACTGCTGTGACGTGGGCGCCGGCGGCTGCGTGCGGTCGCGCCGGAACTTCGAGAAGATCTTGCGCACGAGGTGGTCCTGGTTCTGGTCGAGCTGGGGCTCGTTCTTGCGCCGCTCGGCGAGCTCCTTCTCGCGCTTCACGTCGGCGACCTTGCGGAAGATGAGGCGGTGGCGCAGGTTGTAGGTGAGGATGAGGTTGCGGGCGAAGCTGTTGGCGAAGGCTTGGTAGAAGTCGAGGACTTCGAGGAGCTTGTCGCGCTTGATGGTGTGCAGGTCGCAGTAGGTGAGGGCGCGCACGTTGGCGGCGGATTGGCCCACGGCGTTGTCCTTCCAGAAGGAGTCGCCGAAGACGTCGCCCTTGCCTGGAATAAATAAATAAATAAATGAATAAATTATTGTTATTTAGGTATCAAGGTAAAAAAAAATATTTGGGACCCTCGAGAAGGTTTTACACTTTTAAAACTCACATTTGGGACCCCGAGAAGGTTTGACATTAAAAAAGCCATTTGGGATTCCGAGAAGGTTTCACATTCTTAAAAAGACATTTGGTGCCCCCGAGAAGGTTTTACATTTTTAAAAAAGACAGTTGGGACCTCCGAGAAGGTTTCACATTAAAAAAAGTCATTTGGGACCCCCGAGAAGGTTTCACATTCTTAAAAAGACATTTGGCGCCCCCGAGAAAATTTTACATTTTTAAAAAAGACAATAGGGAACCTCGAGAAGGTTTCACATAAAAAAAAACATTTGGGACCCCCGAGAAGGCTTCACATTCATAAAAAAAGGCATTTAGCGCCCCCGAGAAAGTTTTATATTTTTAAAAAAATCAGCTGGGACCCCCGAGAAGGTTTTACAATAAAATAAAGATATTTGGGACCTTCGAGCAGGTTTTACATAAAAAAATATACATTTGGGGCCCCCGTGAAGGTTTCACATTCTTAAAAAAAGACAGTTGGGACCCTCGAGAAGATTTAATACTGTTTGTATTCTTTATTTTCTCAATTTTTAATTTTTCCTTCCCTCAATTTTCGATTTGAGATTTTTATTTTTTTTGTTTTTTTCGTTTCCTCAATTATTAAATTTTGCAATTTTGCGATTTAAAATTTCTGGAGTTTTCAACTTTTCATTTTTCAATTTTACGTTTCGGTTTTTTATTTTCTTTATTTTTGCCATTTATCGATTTTTCAGTGTTCAGTTCTTAGACTTTACAGCTTCTGGATTTTTTAATTTCAAGATTTTGCAATTTTTTAATTAGTAGTTTTATAAGTTTTGATTTTTTTTTCTGTTTGTGTGAATGTGAATATTTTCAATTTTTTGAGTTTGTTAATTTTTCGTTTTTTCAATTTTAGATTTTTTAATTTCTCGATTTTTCAATTTTTCGTTTCCTCAGTTTTCGATTTGGGATTTCTCAATTTTTCGTTTTTTCGTTTCTTCAATTTTTATTTCAATCTTCTCGAGTTTTCATTTTTTATTTTTCAATTTTTCGATTTTTTTGTTTCGGTTTTTTATTTTCTTTATTTTTACCACTTATCGATTTTGTAGTGTTCAGTATTTCGATTTTGCAACTTTCGGATTTTTTAATTTTAAGATTTTGCAATTTTTTAATCAACAGATTGACGAGTTTCCAATTTTTTGTTTTTCTTTCATTTTTCATCTTTTCAATTTTTCATTTCGGTTTTTATTTTCTTTATTTTTAAAATTTTTCGATTTCCACTGTTTTGATTTTATAATTTTTCGTTTTCTCAATGTGAAATTTTTCAGTTTTTGGAATTTTCAATTTTTCGGTTCTCAATTTTTTGGTTTCAATTTATTATTGTCCTTACTTTTTCAAATTTTCGGTCTTCCAATTTTTTGATTTTATAATTTTTAGTTTTTTCAGTGTGTTTCAATTTTTGGAGTTAGTTAATTTTTCGTTTTTTCAATTTTAGATTTATTAATTTCTCGATTTTTCAATTTTTCGTTTCCTCAATTTTCGATTAGAGATTTTTAAATTTTTCGTTTTTTCGTTTCTTCAATTTTTAAATTTTGTAATTTTTTATTTAAATTTTCTCGAGTTTTCAATTTTTTATTGTTCAATTTTTCATTTCTTAAATGGTTCGTTTCGGTTATTTATTTTCTTTGTTTTTAAAATTTTTCGGTTTCCACTGTTTTGATTTTATAATTTTTCGTTTTCTCAATGTGAAATTTTTCATTTTTTGGAATTTTCAATTTTTCGGTTCTCAATTTTTCGTTTCTTCAATTTTTCGTTTCTATTTATTTTTTTCCTTACTTTTTCGTTTCTTCAATGTGGAAATTTTCAATTTTTCGGTTCTCAATTTTTCGTTTTTTCAATTTTCGATTTTTTAATTTCTCAATTTTTCAATTTTTCGTTTCCTCAATTTTCGATTTGAGATTTTTAAATTTTTCGTTTTTTCGTTTCTTCAATTTTTAAGTTATGCAATTTTTATTTAAAGTTTGTCGAGTTTTCAATTTTTTATTATTCAATTTTTCATTTCTTAAATGGTTTGTTTCGGTTTTTTATTTTCTTTATTTTTCCACTTATCGATTTTGTAGTGTTCAGTATTTCGATTTTACAACTTTCGGATTTTTTAATTGTAAGATTGTGCAATTTTTTAGTCAGCAGATTCACTAGTTTCCAATTTTTTGTTTTTTTCGTTTTTCATCTCTTCAATTTTTCATTTCGGTTTTTTATTTTTTTAATTTTTCGGTTTTCCACTGTTTTGATTTTATAATTTTTCATTTTGTCAATGTGAAATTTTTCAATTTTTGGGATTTTCAATTTTTCGGTTCTCAATTTTTCGTTTCTTCAATTTTCGTTTGGAGGTTTTTAAATTTTTAATTTTTTTTTTGTTTCTTTTTTTAATTTTGAGATTTTACAATTTTTATTAACAGTTGCAAAAGTTATCAATTTTTAATTTTTCAATTTTTCGTTTCGGTTTTTTATTTTCTTTATTTTTACCACTTTTTAATTAGTAGTTTCACAAGTTTTCATTTTTTTTTCTGTTTTTCATTTCTTTAAATTTTCGTTTCAATTATTTTCCTTACTTTTTCAAATTTCCGGTCTTCCGATGTTTCGATTTTATAATTTTTCGTTTTTTCAGTGTGAAAATTTTCAATTTTTGGAGTTTGTTAATTTTTCGTTTTTTCAATTTTAGATTTTTCAATTTCTCGATTTTTCAATTTTTCGTTTTGCTCAATTTTCGATTTGAGATTTTTAAATTTTTCGTTTTTTCGTTTCCTCAATTATTAAATTTCGCAATTTTTCGATTTAAAACTACTCGAGTTTTCATCTTTTTATTTTTCAATTTTTCTTTTCGGTTTTTTATTTTCTTCATTTTTACCATTTATCGATTTTTCAGTGTTCAGTTTTTCAACTTTACAACTATTGGATTTTTTAATTTTAAGATTTTGCAATTTTTTAATTAGTAGTTTTACGAGTTTTCAGTTTTTTTTTTTCTGTTTTTCATTTCTTTAAATTTTCGGTTCAATTTATTATTTTCCTTACTTTGTCAAATTTTCGGTCTTCTGATGTTTCGATTTAATGATTTTTCGTTTTTTCAGTGTGAAAATTTTCAATTGTTGGAGTTTAATAATTTTTCGTTTTTTCAATTCTAGATTTTTTAATTTGTCGATTTTTCAGTTTTTCATTTCCTCAATTATTAAATTTTGCAATTTTTCGATTTAAAATTTCTCGAGTTTTCAACTTTTTATTTTTCAATTTTTCGTTTCGGTTTTTTATTTTCTTCATTTTTACCATTTATCGATTTTTTAGTGTTTAGTTTTTCAACTTTACAACTTTTGGATTTTTTAATTTTAAGATTTTGCAATTTTTTAATTAGTAGTTTCACTAGTTTTCAATTTTTTTTCTGTTTTTCATTTCTTTAAATTTTCGTTTCAATTTATTATTTTCCTTACTTTGTCAAATTTTCGGTCTTGTGATGTTTCGATTTTATGATTTTTCGTTTTTCCAGTGTGAAAATTTTCAATTGTTGGAGTTTAATAATTTTTCGTTTCGGTTTTTTATTTTCTTCATTTACCATTTATCGATTTTTCAGTGTTCAGTTTTTCAACTTTACAACTATTGGATTTTTTAATTTTAAGATTTTGCAATTTTTTAATTAGTAGTTTCACGAGTTTTCAATTTTTTTTCTGTTTTTCATTTCTTTAAATTTTCGTTTCAATTTATTATTTTCCTTACTTTGTCAAATTTTCGGTCTTCCGATGTTTCGATTTTATGATTGTTCGTTTTTTCAATGTGAAAATTATCAATTTTTGGAGTTTGTTCATTTTTCGTTTTTTCGATTTTAGATTTTTTAATTTCTCGATTTTTCAATTTTTCGTTTTTTCGTTTCTTCAATTTTGCAATATTTTATTCCAATTTTCTCCAGTTTTCATTTTTTATTATACAATTTTCCCTTGGTTCGTTTCGGTTTATATTTTATTTATTTTTACCACTTATGGATTTTGTGGTGTTCAGTATTTCGATTTTACAACTTTCGAATTTTTTAATTTCAAGATTTTGCAATTTTTTAATTAGCAGGTTTCTGAGTTTCCAATTTTTTGTTTTTTTCGTTTCTCAACTCTTCAGTTTTTCGTTTCGGTTTTTTATTTTCTTCATTTTTTTAATTTTTCGGTTTCCACTGTTTTGATTTTATAATTTTTCGTATTGTCAATGTGAAATTTTTCAATTTTTGGGATTTTCAATTTTTCGAGTCTCAATTTTTCGTTTCAAATTATTATTTTTCTTACTTTTTCAAAATTTCGGTCTTCCAACGTTTAGATTTTATAACTTTTCCTTTCTTCAATGTGAAAATTTTCAATTTTTGGAGTTTGTTAATTTTTCGTTTTTTCAATTTTAGATTTTTTAATTTCTAGATTTTTCAATTTTTCGTTTCCTCAATTTTCGATTAAAGACTTTTCAATTTTTCGTTTTTTCGTTTTTTTGTTTTTTCAATTTTTAAATTTTGCAATTTTTTATTTAAATTTTCTCGAGTTTTCAATTTTTTATTATTCAATTTTTCATTTCTTATATGGTTCGTTTCAGTTTTTTATTTTCTTTATTTTTACCATTTATATCGGGTTTTCAGTGTTCAGTATTTCGATTTTACAACTTGCGAATTTTTTAATTTTAAGATTTGCAATTTTTTAATCAGCAGATTCACGAGTTTCCAATTTTTTGTTTTGTTCGTTTTTCATCTCTTCAATTTTTCGTTTCGGTTTTTTATTTTCTTTATTTTTTCAATTTTTCGGGTTTCCACTGTTTTAATTTTCAATTTTTCGGTTCACAATTTTTCGTTTCTTCAATTTTCGTTTGGATGTTTTTAAATTTTTTATTTTTTATTGTTTTTTTTAATTCTGAGATTGT